GTTTCTTTTTGTGCAAACTGTTGATAACTTTTCACATTTTGCATTTGTACTCATTTATAGGAGTTTGTCATATATTTGTTGGTGATTTGCGTTGCACCTCTTTTTCCTGTGCTATAACAACAAACAAGACTAATTTCTTTTATGAGTGCTTTTGCTGTCCTGTTTGGTTATTTCCTATTTTCACTTCCTATTTTAAATATTTGTATTTTCTCTCCCCTTTAAAGGATTACGTGGTTCACACATTTTGTGTTTTTTAAAAATTTAATCATTGAAGTCATGCATTTGATGTATATTTAGTAATATGTGAAAATGCTAAGTATATAATTTTAGATGAAATAACCTGAATAAAAGGCCTATGATGCCAATATTTAATAAGAAAATTCATTGATATTTTATAGACAAAAAAATGAATAAAATGAAAAACCTCCAAATGCTAACATTGTTTATACCTGATTAATATGATAAGAGGTGAATTCTAGTTTTTGTACTTTTTGTATTTCCTAAAATTTAGAAATCGATTTAAGGTTTTCTAATTAATAGGCCTCTAAAAATAGTTTTAGATTTATAGAAAAACTAAGCAGATAGTACAGAGAGGTCCCATATACCTACTCCATATACTGACACCCAGTTTCCCCTATCATTAACATCTTGCCTAGTATGGTACATTTATCACAACTCATGAACCAATATCGATACATTATTATGAACTAAAGGCCATACTTTATTCAGATTTCCTTAGTTTTAACCTAATATCCTTTTTCTGTTTCAGGATCCCATCCAGAATACCACATTAGTTGTTATGTCTCTTTAGGCTTCTCTTGGCTTATGAGGGTTTTTCAGACTCTTTTTTTGATGACCTTGCCACTTTTGAGAAGTACTGGTCAGGTATTTTGTTGGATTCCCCCCAAGTAGAATTCATCCTTTCTTTTTGTCATGATTAGAGTGAGGTTATGGGTTTGTGGGAGGAAGACCACAGAGGAGAAGTGCCATTTTATTATATCATATCAAGGGAATATACTATCAACATGACAGATTAATATAATAGTTAATAATAATATAATAGATTAAATGATTGGATTAAATAGTTTATATGTTTTATTGGCTTTGTTTTGTTTTTGTGGTATTTTTCCCCAAAGAACCAGCTCTTAAGTTTTTGATTAGTTCTATTATTTTTCTATTTTATTATGCTCAATTCATTTTTAAAAATTTAATAGTATAAGTACACCAGCCATGATTTCTCTGAGCACTGCTTTAGAGGCATCCTGCAGGTTCTAACATATGGAATGTTTTTTGTTACTGTCATTTTCTAGATATCCTGCAATTTCTATATGGATTTCTTTTTTTGATCTGAGTTGTTTAAAGAGAATTTTTTAAAAATGTCCAAGTGATAGGGTTTTGTAGTCCATAATTTTGTGATTAATTTCTAAGTTTTTCTTCTGTGTTATCAGATAGTATATTACTTTCGCTTTTTTGGTGAATTTTTATTTGCAGCCTAATATGTGGGAAATTTTTTTGATGGTTCCACAAACACTTGAAAATTACATACATTCTTTGTCTTCAAGGTATAGAGTTTGATATATACATCAATTAGATCTGTCTTATTTATTATGTAATTTTGGTTATTCTGTGTCTTCACTTAATTTGGCCCATTGGTCTGTCATGAGCTGGGAGAGGGGAATTCAAATTACCTGCCTCTGATGTGTGTCTAAGATCCCTACTTTTATTGCTTCTGGCTTTTGCTCTGAATTGTGGGGCTGTTATTTGGAGTGAGTGTTAGATCTTCACTTGTGGATCATATTCTTTATTATTATAAAGTCTTCTTCCTTGTCTCATTTAAAACCTTTTGCCCTGAAAACAACTTTACTTGCCTAATATTGAGATTACAGCGCCTGCTTAGTTTGAATTTACACTTACCTGGTATGTTGTTTGCCCTTCCTTTATTTTCAAAATCCTTGAATCACTTTGCGTCGGGGATGGCTCTTACATGTGGCATATGGTCGAAGGTTTTGTCTCCAATCTTAGAATCTTTTCTTTTTAGTAGTTTACTATGGCCATTCATTGACATGGTTAGTATTTTGGTCTTAGTTTTACTATCATATTTTATGTCTTTTTGCATCTTAAAACAAAATCTTTCAATGTATGGTCTGTTTTATTTTGTGTTGTGTTCCTTCTGACAATTTGGAAGGTTTGCATTTTAGTGTGTTTTTTTTTTTTTTATATTATTGGGGTAAAACAGTTTCGGTTTCATATGTTGCCCTTGCCCCCCCACCGCCCTAAGTCCGAGTTTCAAATATGTCCATCCTTCGGGTGGTGCGCATTGCACTCTTTGTGTATGCAAAT